AAAAATATTGCTCAACAAGAACCCCAAAACCCCAAAACCCCAAAACCCCATAAAACATATAAATATCGTGAAAATTGAGTAAAAAATGTTAAATTTCATTGTTATATTTAATGGAGTCATAATGTTAATACAGCTAAATATTAACAAGCAACCCTGAAATGACTTCAAATACCAAAATTATACCAGGACATATCTAAATTATTAAGGGCGACAAATATTCAAACTAACTATCGTCCTTTACAATTAATGAAAAAGAACATAGCTCAGCATCCCCAGGACAATTTGATTAATTCGTTAATAGAGACTAAAACACTCTATATTAGTCAAAAAGCAATGCAGATATGAGTAAAAGGTCAACAAATACAGTGAATCGAAGAGGCAAAAAGAAGAAATCTCAACAACAATCTAACAATTTGTTCCAAGATGATGAGTACTTTGGCACTCATTTCACTAATGGTAGGTATCAATAATTAAGATTTGTAGAATTAATGTCTAATTATTAGAAATGAAATCGTAGAATAGAGCGAAGAAGTCTCAATTAGATTTGAGTTCTATCAGCAAGATTTCCTAGCAGACTTTATAGTTAGTTCAAAATCACTCATCAGCCACTAACACATAACTTGACAATTCATTTGAAGCTAGATAAAACGAGATGGACATACTATAGAGTATATACCCAGATGACTTTACTATGATTGAGTAACCAGATGAATAGAATTAAGAGGACTTTGGCCTCAATACTTACAAAAAGGGAAAGTATCAAATTAGAGTTTATCCTCATACCGTTGAAGAAAACAACTTCTGCTGGATTGATCTAATGGTTGAATACTTTGATTGCTATCCAGCTAAGATGCCTAAACTGACTCTTCTCAAGGAAAAGTCAAAGGGAATTACCGATTAAAATCTAGCTGAAATTAAGTCAACTATTGACAAGAGAGCAGAGGAATTAGCAAAAGACAAATAGCCAATAGTGTATGAGGTAATCTTAGAAATTCAGGATATTCTTGAGGTCATTAATCAGCATACAAGTAATTACAAAAGAAAGTAGTTAAAGCTCTAACATATACCCTCTAATGTCACAGATCAAAGTAAACAATCAGAGATTTCAGCAGATAACAACGATAATCTAAAAATGTAAGAACATCCTTATTATTAATTAGCATGTATCTATAGAAATGATAAGTAAGGCGATGAAGAAGAAAGTAGCTATTACTACGATGAAGAAGATGAAGGTACAGACCAGTAATAGTAAAAGTAAACTCCTAAGGAGGAGGAAAAGTCTACACTCGAGTAGAAAAATGAGATAGATGAGATAGGGGAACTGTATAAGTAAAGGATCAAGAATCAACAGTCAATGATCTAAGATGCATTCGAGTGGAGAAATAATAATAATTTCTATGGAGCTAATGGTCCTTCTGCTTTTGACAATTTCGGACAAGATTTCTCTCAGTCTTAGAATGATGAAGACGAGTCCTTGAGCTTCCCAGCAATAGTCCAAGCTTCAAGTTAAATGATGCAGGTAGGGTAGATCTCAAGATACAAGCAAGACTTTGAGGAGATCAGCAAGATTGGTCAAGGTGGAGCAGGGAGAGTGTTCAAGGCTAGACATAAGATTGATAGAAATATCTACGCTATTAAAAAAGTGAGACTCTTTAGAAGAGATGAAGAAGAAAATGAGAGAATAAAAAGAGAAGTTACTGTAATTAGCAGATTGCATAATCAGCATATTGTCAGATACTTCCAAGCATGGGTTGAATGCATTGATGATGAAAAGGAAATAAATGAATTGGACTTTTCAGATTCTGAAGTGGATGAGGAAGATGAAGACTATGAGTAGGATGAAAATAGTGACGATGAAGGCAACTTCAATAATGGTAAATATGAGAGCAACAGTGACAGTGACTATGTCTCCAGATCTGAAGAGGATGATGAGCAGGATTACTATGTGGAGGATGATAATGACTATGAAGAGGATAGTTATGAGGATGATTCAGGAATGTATATTAGTGTTAGTAATAAGAAGGGTAAGAAAAGAGGCAAGAAAGATAAACAAAACAAGAAGCAGTTCAAAAAGAACTAGCCATAGTATAACAAGGATAAACTTAACAAGAAAAAGCAGTAAAACTAGATCAATAGAAAGCTATTCCAAGACAATGAGAACAAAAACAATCCAAAGCTAGGTAAAGGAGGAAAATTCGATCCTAAATTTAAAGGTATTCAAGTGCTCTACATCCAAATGGAGTACTGTGAGGGTAATAACCTGAGAAACTTTATTGATGAAAACCCCGGTAGAACGAATGAAGACCATAAATGGAAGATTTTCTCATAGATAGTAGATGCTCTACACTACCTGCATGGATTGAATCTGATTCACAGAGACCTGAAACCCTCTAATATCTTTTTGGACAAGAATAACAATGTCAAGCTTGGTGACTTTGGTTTAGCCACTACGCATCATCACCACCATCATAATTAAAACTCTATTAAAAATACACAGAGCAACTCTAGCTTGGCTAATAACCTGACTCAGAGATAGAAAAAACAGATGGAGACATTCTAGTTAAAGATTCAATAATAGGAAGACTCTGATTCATCTCAGAATAATATGGAATCAGTCCCTGGCTAGCCATCTTTTTCAAATCAAGCTCACTCAGTGGGTATCGGTACTCCGGCTTACATGCCACCAGAGTAAAAGAAGGGTTAAGGGAAGTATAACTTCCTAGCTGATATGTACTCACTTGGTCTTATATTGTTCGAGATGTGGGTGAGCTTCTAGACAGGTATAGAAATGGACAAGGCCTTTTAGCTTTTGCAAAGGTAAGGTGAGATAGAAAAGGAATATCATTAGAAGATTCCAGAGAATGCCAGAAAACTCATTATCTGGCTCACTAAGGAATCGCCAAAGGAGAGACCTTCTACCATAGCACTTTTGTAAAGGTAAATAATACTAGTTAGACTTGATGAATGATTATGTTTTATAGTGAGTTAATGCCTCAGAAGCTTGAGGGTGAAGTGTTCAAGAAGTTTATTTATTCAATCTAAAATCATAAGACCATAGAAAGCATTCAACTTATGAATTTTCTGCTGAAAAGAAAAACTCCTAAAAACATGGACCTGACATACGAATCATATATACTAGACTAAGCAATTTAACAACCTCTAGGTCTCACATAATCTAGCTCATATTCCAAAGGGTATGGAGGGTTGAATGTAATGAACCAAGACAATAAGAATGTGCTCAGCAGTTATACCTAAAAAGAGGCTATAGCCAAGTCAATCTTAAAGCAGACCTTTAAGAAGATATTTATCTTGCATGGAGCAATTGATATTGACATTCCTATAGTTGCCCCCATTTAAGATACAGCAACAATTTTTGTGTCCTAAAGACAATTGAAATCTGGTACAGAAAGAAGACTAAGTCATAACTCAGACGGGTCAAATGGAGACAGTAATTATCCTACAGATGAATAGCTATAAAGCATTGAGATTGATATGCAAAGCGATATCGTGAAGTATCAAGAATAGTCAGCTATTCAAAAGCAAAACATGCAACTAATTAATCAACTTAAAGAAAGAGACGTGCAGAAGATTACTTATGTCAATATTGATCCTTAGCAAATATCTCAGAGATTGATAGATGACACTGGCATAGTGCTTTAGCTTCAGCTAAATTTAACTGCTAACTTTGCTAGGTTCATAGCTAGAAAGCAGGTGCCATTCTGTAAGAGATTTCATATAGGAAAGACATACAAGAAGAATTAGCTGTATCAGAGGACAAATCCATCTGAATATTTAGAAGCTACATATGATGTAGTATAGTAGACTACTGCCTAGAATTATAACAGTGGGGATGAGATTATTCATGAGGCTGAAGTGATCAAAGTATGTGATTAGATAGCTTAGGCATATATCAAGGAGATAGGCTCTAAGTATAAGATTAGAGTTAGTAGCAGTGAAATTATTGACGGTATATTAGAAGAAGGTAGAGTCAGAGTTGAATCTAGACATAAGGTAGTCAAAATTCTAGCATCTATGATTGACAAACAACCATGGCCAATTATTAAAAGAGAACTATTGAATCAAGGACTCGTGTCAGCTAATCATATTGAGAAAATTGGTGATTTGATAAAGATTAAGGGTTCAGTCCAATAAATCGAGCAGATACTTAAGAATCATAAAACAATGAGGAAAGTTGATAGATTTAAAAAGGTTATAGAATACTTTAAAAGCCTGAGGAATTACCTCAAGTACTTTGGAATACTTGAAGATGACTAACAAGCTGCAAATCACAGCTCAGGTGGAGGTGTCACAGGAGTTTTGATCTTTGACTTCAGTATGATTCTAGAAAACTATCTGAATTACTATTCTGGATTGATATTCAGACTAGTAGTTCCACTCTCTTAGGTCGAGTAAGAGTAAAATCTGTTCATTAGGTAGAAGAACAAACTTCAGTAGCACATGGAGAGCTTTAAAAGTGATGCTAGTAAGAACCAAGGCAAGACAAGTCAAAACACAATAGGATAAACTAAGAGTACCTCAGTCAATCAACTTCCAAAACTAGCATTCAATAACATTGGAACACAAAACTAAAAGCCTACTGGCAGTGCAAGGAATACTGGTCAATTGCAGTAGTATGAGACTTTAGCCATCGGTGGTAGATATGACAACCTAGTTGCTAATTTCTAGCCTTTGGACGTACCTATTGCCATCGGAGTTAGATTTTTCTGCTATAAATTCATCTAGAAAATGCTCTTTCAAGATGTAAGCTTAATGATTGTTTAAAAATTCTTATAGAACTAAAAGAAAGACTAGATAAGCAGCTTTGCCCCACTAGATGTCTACATAGTATCAATTAATGATATGACTTAGGAGAAGATGGAGTTGCTGAGTGAGCTTTGGAGGAATAACATCAGAGCAGAGGCTCATCTCGGCAGTGACTTCTAGCTGTCTGATTTGACTTAGAGTTTGGCAACTAAAAATCTTAAGTTTTTGATTACTTTTAAGAAGGCTGTGTATGCTAACAACAAGAAGGTCAAAGTTAAGGACTTTGAGAATAAGACTGAGAAAGATGAGCCTAGAGAAGGGCTAGTAGAGAGACTGAAAAATAGGCTTAAGAATCATTAGATTATGTGAGGTGATTAAGTTTGATCACAAGGTAATAAATGATTGGGAATTAATCTAGAAGTAATCCATCTTAATAGAGACAACACGACCGATGTTCAGAGTAAAAATTAATGATTTCATAATTTATTAGCTTTTTAAATAAACTTTAAACTAAACTAAACAAACACTATTACCGAGCTCTCAATCAATTCCGCATTCCTATGCTTCATCGATTATGCTCATATTTATAAAAACATCTATCAAAGTCATTGCATTCATTAAATTATCTCAATTCATCACTTCAGTAGTATCTGTTGTTATCATAGTTGCTCTACCTGAATTCCTCCTATTTATTCTCTTCTCGATGATGCTATGAGGACCTGCTTTTATCGCTGCCACTCTGCAGATTTTCAAGCACTTCAAAATTCTGCAGTTTGGCTTATACCATCTCAGTCAGCTCTCCTCTTTTATCTCTTTTGACTCCATACTCTTATTTCTTTATATCGTAGTTCACTGCATATTTGTAGAGCCAGTAATGCTGTATCATGAAGGCAATGTCAAATATGATACCTATGCATGATAGTAGACACTTTACCAGGTTGAATGCGCTTTTACCCAGCACTAGCTCGCCTCTGCCAATCGAGTCCATTATTAGCTGCAATAGAGAAAACAAACTTCCCGTGAAATCAAGGAATACAAGCTTAATGCTGAATCCCACAGTAGACCTTCTTCTCTAATTATAGTAAAACTGAGCAGAGTACTTGTAAACATTAGTAAGCACTAGCCCATAGCCACACATCATCTGAGTCTGCATGAGAAGAGGCATGTACGACCCATTGACTTCGAGGATGAAAAAGAAGCCAATCAGACCGATCTCGACTCCCAAAAATATCAAGCACCACCGCTGAGGATATCTATTATCTCCTCCTCTTGAGTAAATCAGGCACTAAGTAAGATGCACAGTGGTAAGGGCAAATCCATGAGTAGAAAATAAAATATCAGAAATAGTAACAACCCCAGTGCCTGAGTGGTGGTCGATGCGGCCAGTATATGTGTAAATTGTGTAAAATAAGTATGCAAGAGGATGCAGTATTGCAAATTCAAATGAAATCCCTTTTACATTTTTCCTTCTGAAGTTCTCTCGGGCTTGAGGGTAGAATGATAAACTCCAGGAGACTAGGTAGATTATTCCAAATAGATAAGTAAGGAACTGGTAGGTATTAGTCTCTGTAATGCTGGGCGAAGTTTCTACCTCAATCTAACTTAAATTTTCAACTCTTTCAATTCTCATTTATTTTAATAATATTATTGCTTGAAGTTTATATAATTTTTGTAATTTCAAAATTCATTATATTTATAGACAAAGGGGTTTTGGGGTTTTGGGG